GATATTTTACAATTCGACAACGATTAATGTTCTAAACAATTACACAAACCGAAAAAAGTACTGCCGTTAACTTTTGTTCCGCTAATTTCTCAAATAATCGAATTATTATTTCTAACGATCTGTTCGAAATAATGCTTTGAGAGGGAATGAACATTAATCAGTCTTATAATTTCGCGAATAAATATCTCAGTGGTACCACATTCAATTTTGCATTCGATTGATACAATCAATTACCTAAATGAACTCTTCCAGTATATTCCATTATTACATTCAAATGAAAATGCAATTATACAAGATAGATCAACATTGCGAACGGAAAATATTTCAATAAATAAACGTAATTCGCTATGATCCTGACAACATTCCAACTCCGTTTTTTGCTGTTGTTCGTTCATGGAATGGAAGTATCATATGAAACGGTACTTCCACTCCCCTTTTGTTAATTGATTGTAAAATTTGATGACCTGAAAGGAAAACCTTTACTATAGTCAAGAGTGATCGCGCTGGTAGTGTCATAAAAGGATGCAGGAGATTTTGAGACTGATGACAATTAAAATGTAAAGAACTAATACAATGATGATTTTGAACTTTAGAAAAAGCAATCAATTTGATGTAAACATAAGCAGATTTTGGAGGTAATATATCGATAGAACTCACTTCATCCATAGAGTTGTACCGCGGAAAGAAGTCACTGTCACCGAGTGAGTCGGATTCTTCGACAAGCCGAAATCACACAGTTTGCAGACGCGTCCAGCACCAAAGACAACATTTTGCGACTTCAAGTCGCGGTGAATTACGGTTCGGGTGCGTCATGATGAAGATAGTCGACTTCATACGCTATCTGAAGAGAAACAGTCGATTAATGCTGAAGCTTGCGAAACACATTCATGAAGTGCAAATAGAATGCTTCTTCTTTCGACTGTTGCATTTTCTGTACCAATTCTACAAACCTGTATACAATGGTGTTCAAAAACAAATGCTACTGACACTCTAATCGCATATTAATAATTCTTCGATTTCAGTAAACTCATTAACTTTTTTACACACATATTCTAATATATGCTCTAATTTACATGATCAGAGAGGATTCAGATCTAAGATCCTGTGAAAGTGGATGAATAAATGAGTGCATCTGGAAATATAAAAAGGGGATGCAATGAATTCTAAAACAGGGCAACATTTGAATGGTGCAAAATGAAATAACCTGCAAAGCCCAAGTGATAATTTGCTTGAAATCAGTGGTCGTATTATTCGCATTATCAAAATAGTCGTATAAGATACCACCGTCGGCGTACTCTGCAAATTAACTTCAGTGATATCTTCCAACTGTTCTGCCAAAATTTAGCAATACTGACAAGTCTGTGGTTAAATATTACAAATTACATCAGGATGTTTGGGCTACTAGCCATTGAGAAACAGAATACGTAATGAAATCATCGAATGCATAAACAAATCTTATGAATCTTATGCACAACCAATACCACTCCGTCTAACAATCGCTGGTGAGAAAGCATTTGATGATTTCAAATTTTGAAGGATGAAAGCTTCACTCAAATCGAACCTCAGAACCATCAGAAATTCATTTCAATAAGGCCAAACATTTATTTATGGCACAAATATTCTGATTTCAAATAATGCAAAATGGACTGGTCACTTTCGATCATGCTTTTGCCACAGTGAATCGTTGCATGCCCGTTTGCTGTGTGCTTTAAAAATTTTTCGAACAGGTATGTAGTTCAAATTTCGAAATTCATAGCTAACCTGTAACAATACAGGGTTCAGACTCCTTATCCCGAACGTCTTCCGAGACGCCATGGAACTCAATTACGCTGCGGTGCCGAATCCGGGACAAAACATCAGCCTGAAATGACTTAATATCGCGATAATCATTATGACAACACATCACAAAGTAATGGAACAAACAGTAACTGGAATGAATATAAGCTGAAAATAAAGTGGGATTCACTTCATGAGTTCTACAGAAACGATAATGCTTCACTAAAAAATGGAAGAACCTCTTCTTTCAACAGCGCAACTTTTTTCACCGCCGTCTCTTCTCCATTTGCTTTCCACGTGTCCTTACAAACGGTTCTGTAGCCACCCGCACCCACCCACTTGATTACCTCAAAATCATGCTGAGGAACTGTTGGGTAGTAGGGTGTGAAAGTTCGGTCGTCTTCGGTCTTGCTCATTTCGTCGCTTCGTTGCTGTGCACAAGCCTGAAATGAAGTGTAATTGATTAGACGTCTTTATCGGCATCCACTTCGGTGCGTTTCAATCCGANCGACTGACGTGGGTTAGGATCAAGAATTGTGCATTCAAAACGGTATGGACACTTTTTCAACCAGAACAACGATGAAGATCTCAACTCGGCATCACTTATGAGAACAGAGCTATCGTGTGCATAACAAGATATTACTTGCAGAAAATTTCGGCGTGAAATTTTGAAATATATGTGGAGGGATAAGGAAAGGAATGATGAAATGTACGGAGCAGTCAATGAAGTGCTGAAGAAGCAACATCAGTCACTTATGAATCAGCAGGACCGTTTGGACGGTGATGACGACTGTAGAATCGTGTTCCAGCCATCCCTTAAATACACTATTTCCCAATGTTTATAATCACTTATCAGTTGATAGCAATAAAATAGTCTATAAAATTTTTCTGAGCGCATCAAAAATCTCGTGATAAACAATTTTTCAGTGAGAAATCATACATTCAAAAATTCAGACTAAAGTCACGTATCAACAAACCTTATCAATAATCCGGTGCCAATTCAATGATATGATAGTATATTTCATCACATTTGCAGCCGAATTTACTCTTTTCGATTTCAAATTTCGAAATAATAATTCCATTCAGATGCATTTTTTGTGATCATTGAGAGCATAATTCTGTTCTGAAATCCAAAATGAAATTAACTGGCATTTGAATGTTAGGAAGCAAAGTAATCAGAGGATCCGTTTCTTCAAACGGACAGGGAAAGGAACCAAATCTAGCGATAACAGTTCAAGTAGTGCTCTTCGGTAAGTGCAGCCTTGACAGGAAGCTATTTCCTGACCTGAATCTCTCGGAATGCTCAGATTATATCAGGTTTGAATACTGCTGAGTTGTGTGGCGATCTGGCCAAATTTAAGCTCACCTCCGAACGGAATAATGAATAGTATTGACGGAAACTGAGATAAAATGCTTTTGAGGTATATTTCTCCAAAAGAGATCGTGAGCAATTTTCATTCACATTCAGAAACCAAAAAACCAAATGGATAATTTAATCAGTGATATGATTCCGTTACATTCTGTTGTAGACTGTTTTTGGATGGATGATGAACGCGTTAGTCGAACCGCGAATTCAGATCGGGTTCCTTTATTCGACTGATTCGTTAGTTTATTGATTCGTCTAATTCATCAATATGTTTACTGCATAATTTTTTAAAATGAAGCTAGAACATTCAAGTGTTCATTGATGTATAGCAACGATTCGAAAAAGCAAAGACCAATAAATGTTCATGCGTCAAACGGATTGATAAGCGAANCAAAAAATATCAAAAATTCTATCGAACTGAATCACTAAGACGGCAAAAAAATTTTTTATGGATTCTATTGAGAGGTTTGTGACAAACAATGTCATTTATTTGTAAAAGTGCAGTGTAAGCATTTGATCAAGCGATTATGTTTTATGATACATTCATCAAAAACGAATTCCAACAGTCATAACATCACCGTACCAATTTTATCAATAATCGATTGCTTCTTCAATCATTAAAGTACTCAGTATTCATTCGACAATCTTTACGTGTACACTAAATGGTAACATATCTAAGGAATGAAGATGAATGCATTGCATGAAAATACAAATGAGATGAACAAAATACGATACCACGACATTTCCAGCCAAATTTCCTGATTTGAATCCCAATCTGCATTCCGGTTGAATCGCAGTACGCTGTGATCAGAGTTGAATTGCAGAGTGATGTCAGATGATGTGCGATCGAGATGAACAACAATTATCAAAACGTTCATTTTTTAAACGCATTCACATGCTCAGTATCTCCCCATCTGATAGTATCAATAAAATTATGCATGTCTACAGCTGAGGAGACTATTCGGAAAATGTGTCGCAACATACAAATGCTCCTTCTCAGACGATCTGTCAAAATGAGCAACGTCGGGTCTGGCTAGTACATGGATTGGAGACGGCTTGGAAATCCGGAGAGGAGCATTTGTAGGTTTTGACATATTTCCCGAATAGTCTGAACCTGAGTCTAGGCCTGAGCATCAGCCTAATCCTAAGCCCCTGATAGTAACCCTACAGTTGTATGATAGAACCAAGAGAATGTTTAATGCATATCTCAGCCTGTTATGAGCCAGCCTCAACCTACGCCCAAGACCATATACAGGGTGGACCAAAAACGTGGCACACTTCTAGGTGTAATAAATCAATAATAGATTGGACGAAACCAATAATGAAGATTAACCTCATTACTTTCAAATCCGCGTATCATGACGTTCTGCTTCAATTTGTTTTAAAAAGTACATGCTGCGAATGCTTGTAACATATCTGTTAAATTCTTTTTTTCTCAGGTTACGGACTGCTCATGTGAGTATTGCCTTTTCATTATGGAAACACTAAGCAACATTTGTTGTTATTGTAGCGTTTATTATTAATGTATTGTTCGTTCTTGTAGCACTGTTTATTGTTATTGTATTCTGTGCTATCATCAAATTTATAATTGTTTATTATTGTTATATTTACTATTATTATATTATTGTTATTATTGATATTATTGTATTATTTGTATTACCACGTTGCAGCTTTTTGGAATAGGTTAAAATGATACTCGGTCGACTACAAACTGGTGAATCAATTCGTGATCCATTTTCGCAGGGAATAGTAAGCAAGCAGCCTTGAGAAGTGATCTCGGAGACGTTTGAAGATTCTGGCGATGATGGCGACACATCGGAAACGGTGTATGATGCCGACGCATAACGACAACGACACAACGATCGCGCTGTGGTTACCTACAACGATTTCAATTTGTGGACCTCCAACGGATTCAAACTACGACCTTCACTTGCGTTTATATCATTAGCTGAAAGATGTTGGATTCATAATTCACATTGTTCCATAGAAGGTACTTTATACATTTTCCGTGCACTTCACTGAAAATTCTGGTGTCATTACTTGACCACGTGACGTCCACAATTTTCCTGTAAAGCGATTCGCCCGATATGTCTTTCTCAAGTCGTGCTTATAATTCTGGCAAAAGACATCATTTCTTCGTAGTGATCTAGCAGTCAAACTGTGAGCAGCACATGAATGCTCAGAAATGTCGCGATTTCCGTGAGTGCAAGGATTTTACCCAAATTTTTGATTCAGGCTTTCCAGGGAATATCGACACCATCATTCCAATGGTTTTCTTCTTATATTTACCAAATGTGCAGATTTATTTTCGGATGGGTTCCAGCCAATTCCTTTCAACAAATGCCAATTTAACGAGACATGAGATGCTCGATAATAACTAAAATAGCTGCGCGGGGAAGACTGTTTTTGTAGGTTTATATTTTTAATATCAAACTTTATGATCAATCACATTTTTTATGTTTACTCTGCAAATACTTCGTAAAACTTTTGATCAAGTTAGTGCCTTGGTGATGTTTATATCGTACCATACAGTGATATGTATATCTTTTAGCTGGTGTAACCGCCAATTGTCAGAAGCCGTTCATAACAACAAAACTTTGGAAACTCGCGAGTAGATTGGATCTGGCGTTTTGGCGTTTTTGCAAGTTTTCGTATCGTTACATCGCTGTTTGCATTTATATCTGACAGCATTTTCTATTTGGACGACATATTGGCTAACGATATTCATGGCAGCATGTTGGACATGGAATATACGATCTGCTGAATGGCTTTCTTTATCGACACATGTTATCTCTAATTGATTTCATTGTTCGTGCGTCTTGATTCTGTTTCTGTTGATAATGTTGATGTGGTTTTTTGACTGGTGTATTGCTTTGCGAGATTTTTTCGTGGTTATTGATGATGCATTATCATTTTGCGTTTTTTTTTTCATTACTGATTGTTATTAATCTAGTTAGATATAGGCAGTAGCGCGGTACTTCGCTTGTAGTGGAGAAGCGCGGTAGCGAAAAGTATTTCGGAAACTGGAGTCCGATAGCGATAGCGCCGCTACTGTTCATGGTTAGCGGATTATAAAACTTCCTGCTATCCGCTATAAGTTCGTGTGCAAGTGAATGTATATTTTTCAATCACTGAGGTATGTGAATACATAAGTATGTGTTGTAACATTGCATTAAATTCTGCAACATTGACTACAATTTAGGAGTGTAGTGGAGTGTCAGAGTGATTCGAGAAATGAGCGTCAAATAACGATCGATGAATCGTTTCAAAGCGCTTATGGGCCAGGCGTTTTTGGATTTTGTGATTGATGACGCGCATACGTTGCGATTTGTAGACAGTGTTTGGCTCCAGACAACAGTCCGACGTTGAATAATTGAAGTAATGGAACTTTTATCACCGAAAATTTTATCGTGATGTTGTTGAACGGAAAATTTTCATTACTTTGAAATTTTATCATTATCTTGTTGTGTAATGGAAATTTTACCGTTACAATGGAAGTTTTATTATCACTATCTGCCATTGTTTTTTCTTAAAATGAGAATTCTAAATCGTTTAGTGGTGTAGTGAGGTTGTTCCCATGCAAATAAGCGGCGCTATTGCAAATTTCGAGCGGAGGTTCTAAAGTAGCGAGCAGCGATAGCGGTAGCGCTTCACTACTGCTTCGGAGATAATCGCGGTAGCGCCTTTTCCAGCGGACGTTTTTTCAATAGCGGAATAGCGATAGCGCGCTATTGATTTTCGATAGCGTACCCATCTCTGGACCTGGTGATTACTGATTAGTTACTGTTTAGTTTTGGTGGTACATGGATTCAATATTAGTCATTACAGTTATTTAATATTACTGATTAGTTTAATATTATCGATTAGTATTATTTTTTAGATTCATTCAGTGGATCTCTAACGAATTCAAATTTCGAGCACCATTTGCGAATTCGACCACAACCCAGCAGATATAGCATTAAGGGGAACAAGCCCTAGGATATTAACATCACAACAAAACTGGTGGATAGGACCAGATTGGCTTAGAAAAGATGAAACAGAACGGCCATCCGAAAATGAGCATATAGGAAAGGTAGATCCAATTGTCGCAGGTTCGATCCTGGCTCGTGACACCATGTGATTATTCCTGGTCCACTGAAGTGGTCGGTAGCAGCGGAGGAGTGCTCACGAGACAAGTACTATATTTGAATGGATTGATGGCGGCGGCTGATGTGTTGATTCCTCGGGACATTATGCGCCCGCCACTGGTGTTGCTCTTCGCAGAACAAACATATCAGTCGGAATACACTTCAGTACGCTCATTGGATTAGGATCGCGTAATGAGATCCACCGCTCGGAACCTTGTCACTATTGCGTTGAGCTTCGTTCGTCAGTTGGCATGTGCCAAAACCGAAGTGCTCATAAGTCGAAGTGTCACGTGGACCGACTACTATGTTTTCGCTGCCCAAGCAGCTGCGCATCACCAGATCGCTGAGGAATACAATGTCGAGGCGCGCGGCTTGGATGAAACACTTTTCTCTGAGGGNCTGACCTATGGCTGACGTACCAGCTAGGCCTGAGTTATGACGATCCCTACCCACTAGTTTCTGACCGTTATAACTCCAATGTCCTACTCGAGTCTGAATCAGTCGGTAGACGAGAAGGCGCGTACGACACGAGAAAAGACAACCTGTATTCAGTAGGAACTACATTCATGTCAGATCCAATGCGGGTGGCATGGCTAAATGGTTTGGTATCTCAAACCGACTCTCGGGATCTCAAATTTGACATTTATTTGCGACGTGTCAATTGGACGTGTACGACTGGGTAGAGATTGCGTCAAGCAGCGGTGCGTCCACCACTCTACCGAGACCGCCGTGGTGTACAGATGAGTTTCCCGCGGCCCGGCTGGTTTAGGACATACAGCGCAAAAGACAATGAATATATGTTTTATGTGTTTCGTTACGGCGACAGAATCACCCCGCAGAGGAGCGGATCGAGCGATACCGCCAATTTTCTGCTGTTCGGGTATGGGTATCGGTGGAGACTCAACGACTTGCCTCGCACGAACGTACAGGTTATACCGCCCATGAATCGGACCATATCCACCGAAATCGTTTTCAAACCGTCACTTGACAGGGAAAGAAATGCCAGCGATGATGCAAGCATAATTCGGGAGTATTCTGCTGCCCGTTTTGCGAAAAATCAATACGCAGCTTAATTATACAGATCCAATTGTCACAGGTTCAATAACGGCTCGTGACACCATGTGATTATTCCTACCTGAGAGTGGGAGGGAGCAATCGTACTGAATACCTAATGGAAAGGTAATATAATCACAAAACGCAACACAAGCAATCACAACACGAATGAAGAAATCAGCAAGAATCACTATTCTTTTTGTCGTGCGACCCACCAGTCTGTGTGCTTGATAATGATAAACGATCCGGTGACGGCGCCGATTGGACCAAAAAGCGGTAGAACCACAGCCAACCAACCAAACGATGAATAGCCTTGTTTCCTTGGACCAAAAAGCGGTAGAACCACAGCCAACCAACCAAACAATGAATAACCTTGAATCCCTTTACAATTATTCCAAACGCAATTTACTCCACTTCGACTAAAGACTTCAGCCAATAACTTTGCCTCAACCGATCAAATTTAACGAATTCATATCATTTGCTGATAGATGCTGGTATCATAATTCACAACGTCCTACAAAAGGTAATTTATAAATGTTCCACGCGCATATAATACGTTACGACTAGACTTTCGCAAATTCGTGCACTGTTGCATCATATAACAGAACTCGTTGCAGATTCAGACTGAGACGCCTTCACAAAAGATTCGTCCAACGGTGACTCATCAATTCGCGTATGATCGGCGCACAATATGTGACGAGTGCGATGTGCAGACGAGTTCCTGTGCTGCAACCCGTACATCAGCTATCGAGCCGATCTTCTTCAATGAGATTGATGTTGAGAGATGTTTCGATATCTCCAATGACTAAAACTTTACAAGCTTCATCAGCATGCGATGGAATTGAAGAAAAACGTAGTGTAAGTTGGTACGGTTTTTGTTTTGAAACCACTGTTGACCACTCAAATTGTTCACTTTATGCAGCACCGATTTTACACCTCATTGTTATTTCTCATTGAATATTTACTGCAGCCGCATATGAAATGGCAAAAAGTGGAACATATCGTGCGGATTATCCGGACCTGCACCAACTATCGCGTCATCTCAGGCATGCAACCAGTGACGACCTCAACATTAATGGTTTATTGGATGCAGATATGCGGTGGAGAGGCGCGGTCCATCTCAAACACCATACGAGCGGAAAATTGACCTAATTGGCTTGCAGATTCATGCATGCTGTTTGTGATGAGGAGCCGAAACAGATTAGGTAACGTAGTTGTGAATTTTTATTGCAACTTTCTCTTCAGTGACGAAAAATCGCCTTCAAATGAGAAGATATGGTCAAGTGTTGACGGTTTTTCGTCATGTACTGACTCCAATCAGAATGAGGCGAAATTTCGTCTAAATCATCCCTGTGTTGTTGCGTCTCGCCCAATGTAGTCGGCGGCGTCCAAGATTTCATAGAAACGGTTGGGATATCCATTTGTAAGACATCCTTGTCGATGACATAAATATCTCATTCATCCCATCGGAGCCATTATTGCTACTGTCGGTCGTTTAACGATATCAATATTTGACTTTCTTTAACAATTCAATAGACTATAACATCTGCTTATAGGGAACCCTTGGGAAGGAAATTAATACTATCAAGGCGATCATCGTAATGCACGCTGAACAGATATCCGACAATAAAATCAGAGTCGAAATGAACGAAAGAGTTCAACACAAGTACAATATTACGATGTTTGGATTCGATTATGTCAATGGTGAAGCAATCGTCAGCAATCCGATGATACAACCCATTATGGACAAAAAGTTGTCATATTTTATTATTCATACACCGTACCCTTGCTCTATCCCAATTCTCATTC